CACCCTACCCGGAGAGTCCACCTCTACATCAAGACGAACTCAACATGCAAAGATAGGGAGCAAATACATTGACAGGGCTGCCACTTTATTTGGGGACTCCAAACTGAAAACACGGCAACCCTGCTAATGTATTTGCTCCCTATCTTTGCATGGAGAGTTTGTCTTGATGTAGACGTGGACTCGGAGGGTAGGGTGGGATGTCCCCTCCGTTTTGGCCTCAACTTGAGAGCTTTTTTTGAGCTTGGGAGATGATTTTAGAGAAAAGCAGTGGCACCATCGTGTTTCTCGCGAACTTTTACATAAGAATCAATTGTCAAATCGCAAATCCCTCACACATGCAACATCTCCATTCTCAATGGTATGCCACAGTTATTTTAAAATTAAGAAGGACTAATGCTCATTGAATTTTCGGTAATAAAACATTTTGTCGAAGAGACGTTGGCAAATTCCAGAATGGAGTTACGGCGTTTCTGCTGAGGACGGCAGTATGTGAGGATACAGGGGCGCAAAAACTTCTCAACCACACGACCGGGCGGGTTGCGATTGGTCGCGCGTGAAATGGGGAGGTCCTGAAAACGGTGATTTAATATGGGGAAATCGGCGAAATCGCGGTAAAAAGCACGTTTTTCCGGCGAATCGCACGGTGAAAATCACGTGCGTTTTGCAATATTGTGGGAACTTATACACACAGATCCGTAAAAAAGTATTTTTGAAATTTCTGAGGAAAAAGGGGTCTTTTAAATTGAAAGCCCAATTGAAAAGTGGGAGTGCTCAGAACTTTCTGAATCCCTGGATAGGAGGAACATTGCGGTAATTATTGAAAGATAGATCATGGAGCTTTTAGGAGCCAACAGGGCAGCCAACCCACGAACTCCAATTATCCAGAATAATTTCTTACTACAACTGTTCGTGGAAAAATAGTGTTAGGGGTTATACTCGACGTATTTTAGATCTTTTTCGTATGTCCCTTTCCCCTTTTGAAGCGTCTATAGCCTCCTTGTTTCCATTAAGTGGCCTCCCGGCTTGTCGCTGAAATCCCGTCGCTGCATCTTACTTATTTATCTACCTCCCACGAACAGCCTATCCGCGACTCCCTCCTGCAATTCGCACGCGTTTGGCGGTTTTTTTTCTCTCTATTTTTAACGATTTTCCCCTCTTACTCTGACTGCACTTTTTTCCTCTCTCTTTCTCTTTCTTTCTTTCTTTCTTTCTTGCAGTTTCTTCGAGAGTCGGGTCGCGCTCCGTTCCTACACCCACTTCGCGCGTCTGTGCGGTTTTCCGTCGCCGAATCAGTTTTTTTGCTGACATAGATCGGCATCGCTGTTGCCGTTTTTTATCGAATTTCCCGGTTTTTAATTGGTTCTAGTGGGGGGGGGGGAATTCGAAGTGTGGCAACGGTGTTCGGTCGGAATCTGGTCCCGTTGTTGGTCCTCACCAAGACTAACAAGATGACTTTGAACGGCCGATTCCTGAAGAATTGCCCGTTTTTTATGCGCCAATCAAGTCTCTCGTACCGTCCTGATTAAAGGACCAAGTCTTGAGATTAACTTTATCCTGCGGAACACTGGAAAAAAAAAAACAGATTGGATCTAGAGTCCAGACTCTTAAAAGCATCGAAAAGAAAAAATACTCTTGATTCAATCAGATTTTAGTTTAAATCAAGAACCCAGCCTCTTAATTTGAGCGGATCTCCTTTTGATTTAAGCTTAAATCTGATTGAATCAAGCGTATTTTTTCTTGTCAATGTTTTCATGAGTCTGGACTCTAGATCCAATGTGTTTTTTTTTTCCAGTGAATGACAGGTTCTTGGGAAGTTATTATTATTAAAAACATGGAGAAATCAGGGAATTTTCCTCCAACCGTGGAAAATCTGATTGAGTCAGGAAATTTCACTATGTGGAATTTTGAACAAGAAAAAGGTAACAAGTTCTTGAAAATGCAGGGGACTTTTAAAAAATTAGGGAATTTTGTTGCGAAACCTTCAAATTTTTTCTTTCACCAAAACATTGCATTTTTCAATATCAAAAGACTTCGCTCCTCTGATTTTTCTGGGTTTTCGTGATAAGTTATGTCAAAAAAATACTTTAAAAAGTCGTGTTGAAGTCAGGGACTTTCACGCTCAAAGCCCCTGAAATATCATGAATCAGTCAGGGAATTTTGCAATCCGAGAAAACTTGTCATCCTATCCTGAAAACATCGGAAACGTAACTTAGCAGAAACTTACGATTTGAAAATGTTTTCTGGAAAAAAAAAAATACAAGAACAAATGATGATTTCGCTGTCTTGCGCTTTGACTTAGGATCAAACTGGATCAAACTGAAGAAAGAAATTAAGAGCTCATTCAAGCGCATTTTTCCCTCATAAATTTTACATAGCGCCACGAGCCGCGTCGCACAATGGATCGAGTCAATAGGAGAAGTCGCACAAAATTAGGAAACTTTAAACGCTTTTAACTCCGTTTATACAAAACGTTGAAGTTCTAAAAGTGGTTCCATTGGTTTCCTCGTAAAATTTTCTTGCACGAGCACCTCTTAAAGTTTAAAATGTTGCGAAATAAACATAAAAATTTGCAGTTTTAGTCAAAAATTTCGTGTCCGACCTCTCTAATTGACTCTATCCACTGTGCGTTATGCGAAACTCCCAGCTTTTCATCACTGATCGTGAGTATACGAACAAACTGTTGCTGCTCGTTATCTCCGGTAGATGCCTCTGCCGTCACTTCCACAAAATTTCAACATATCGCAGCCTCAACCTGGCCCAGTTTCCTAACCAATTGAATTATTTCAGTGCTATTTTATGCATCGCACCTTGCTTCTACGTTTGTCTAACCGGAAAACATCCATTTTTATATATTGGTTGATTTCAGAGAAAAACTTCGAGCTTGTCTTGACCACTAGATAGAATAGATTTTTTTATATAAGTTCTCTTGTACCGGGCCAGTCGAGGCCGATGAATAGCCACCACGTTACTTCAGCTTGCTGTGTTCCTGTAAGCGAGGATATTCGCTTAGGAGGCATCCGCGTATGTTTAGTAGGGATGTACAGATATCGAAGCTCCCTCCCTGGCTTCTGCATGTGGCGCGCTATCATTTTACGCCTCCCCCTGTTCCAATAGCATCTCCGTAGAAATATATTTTAGGAGTTGAACCTTAGCCTTTCGGTGAGCGAGACTGAATTGCATAAGAAGAGGGGAAAAGTAAGGGAATTTTGAAAAGTACGCTTGCCATCCTGAAATTTCGACTGTAGGTATGTTTTGAATATGTCAAAAAGATAGCGAATATTCCTTCCTGCGCTTCTTTATATCTCCCTACTTTTTTTTTCTCTATCTCAACCGATTTTTCTCGCTATTGAGAACCCAAGAAGAGTCGAGGACCAGAGTCTTGAGCCTTTCTCTTGCCCTAACCATGAAAATTTTTAAGGATAAAAATTCAAGAAATTGAAAAGAGAAAAAAGGAAGATAAATCTGCGATTAAATTATTCGCAGACAAGTTTTTGTTCTTCCTTTTTATAGAAGCTTAAATTATTTGCAAACCTTATTATAATTATTATTTTTATATTCTTAGTTTTGTATCCACTAGCACCATTCGGTCCGCAGATTTTGCGATTAAAATTGTTTGCAGACAAGTTTTTGCTCCTCCTTTTTATAGCATAACTTACAATGTAATTGGTAAAGACTCTTGAAATTGATGAATAATCGGAACGCACGCGTTATATTCTCTCCCATTAAATACCTCCATAAACTAGACCTATCCGCGCTCATATCTATCGATAGAATCTCGAAGGCGCGTCTTGCGTCTGCGTTTTGCGAGCGCGCCCACTTTGCCCCGCGACTCGACGAGGAGGCGCGGGCCCATCGATAATCGAGTAATCGAATTTGTCGCATTATCGCCCGTTGCTTTCGGCCAAAAATCTCGGATTTCGATGGGTCGAAACTCGAGTATCGCGGCGGTCCCGACCCAAGGCGACCTTGGGAAATTGCTCTTAATTCTGTTTGCTCTCAGATTAACCGCGGTTGATAGCTGCCTCGCCGCGAATTCGAACTGGATCCGCGGTTGTCTCTCATCCGCCATTATTCTACCCTCCCAAGCAAAAATGCCGTATGAACCTTCAGACGTTGCCAAATTTCCGCAAATAAAAAGGGAATTTACTGAGAAAATTGTGAATATTTGTTTCCAAAATTTTTACACGATGTTTTACGCAATTTAATCTAAAATTTCTGAAAGTTTCAAGGAAAAATATGCATACATTTCGTCAAATTTTCGGAGCAAATTTCGTTTTTGGACCAAAAAATTGCGATGGTATTATTTGGACAAAAAATTTGGGCATGTCGACTTTATTCGGACTTTGGTACAAATGGAGCGCGTTTAGCAGTAAGGAACCAAGCTACATCAGCCAAATACAATTGGGCAATTTCATTTTTTACTAGAGAACGTTTGTGCGGATTCCTTTGAAAATGTTTAGGAATTTGCCTCGAACTTCGCACAAATTTCACTGTTTGCACAGAAATCCGCATAACCGTTTTCACGTAAAAAATTAAACCGCTCAGTTAAATTTTGCAACAGCTGATGCGGTTTGGTTCCTTTCTGCTTCACGCGGTCCAAATCACGTTCTACTTCATGAAATTTTTAAACTCGCCCCTTCACTGGAAAAAAAAAACACATTGGATCTAGAGTCCAGACTCTTAAAAACATTGACAAGAAAAAGTACTCTCAATTCAATCAGAATCTAGCTTAAATCAAGAACCTAGCCTCTTAATTTAAGCGGATTTCGTTTTGAATCAAGCGAAAATCCGATTGAATCAAGAGTATTTATACTTGTCAATGTTTTCAAGAGTCTGGACTCTAGATCCAATGTGTTTTTTTTTTTTTTTCCAGTGCTGTCTAGTGGTCCATCGAAAAACACGAGACAAACTCATCGAGCGCTGTTTTTTTTCAAATCTTTTACCTCCCACAGATTTCACCCCGAATTTCAGCCTCTAACCTCTCCGCTCGTTTGTTACAGTGTCCGTTGACGAGTGAATCGCAACTGCCGCATGAGAGCGACAGAATCGGACGTCATGCTGTGATCACGTCACGTCCCGCTCGGACTGCACCCGCCCGTCAAACGTGAGTACCCATCATCATCATCATCTCCATCATCATCATCATCATGCTATCTACGGAGCCGTAAACTCGACGAAAAACCAGATGAGGAGATCGATCGCTAATTGCTAATTACCCGGCCCGACGCGGCGCACCTTCCGACTCGACTCGAGACGACCAAAGCCAATATTGGTCGAGTCAACGAACTCTCTATCGATCGATCGGCCGTTGCCGTCGTGTGACGGGACTGTCGATCGAGTAGGGTCTAAAAGGTGACGCAGCGAGTTCTGGGTTGTCGATGTGCACTGAGAAAAAACTATGGCTTATAAACCTATTAGAGGTAAATATGGAACACCACTAATAGTAGTACCTCTACATATAATAATAGCACATATACCTTAGTTATGGTACGGGGTACCTTAATTAGGTACAGAGACCTTAGTATGGTTCACAGACCGAGAATCGTTAGTTTATTTACGACTATTATAGGTGTTCCATATTTACCTCTAATAGGTTTATAAACCATAGTTTTTTCTCAGTGTGCCCAAAATCATACCGGAGATGTTGCATAATTTGGACGTATTTCAGCCAGACGGAATTATGTTCAACAAGACATGAGCCCTAAGATCCATAAGACTACATGCATAACAGCGCTCACGTCATAATTCACATATTTCCGTTCGGCAGAAATACGTTCATTTTTGGAATTCCAAAGAATTTTACCAGTGTTGCCACAGTCAAGGAATACTGGAAAACCCGGGAATTGTAGGGAATTTTAAAAAGTCAGAGGGAACCTGGAAGTGTCAGGGAAAAATTGTCAAATCACCTTCATCCGCTTTCTCTATTGGGTTTGACGTTTCGAACAACTTTTGCCGGAAAACTATTTCTTACCATGTCTTTTTAACATTCTGATATTCGTTCCATTGTATTGTCCGTGAAGTTCACCAAATTATTTCAGGGAAATGGCAGGGAATTTTATTTTCAAAATTCTGTGGCAACCCTGAGTTGCGTAATTTTTGGAATTCCAAAGGATGTTACCGATTTTCTTTGGACAGGGTGCTTGAAAATTTCGGGAAAACCGGAAAAAGTCAGGGAATTTCCCTTAGAGACGCAGGTTCTCAGTCTCAGCAAAGTTCTTAGCCATCCCATTCTTCGAACCAGTCTTCATCCCTTGTCTAAAAACCCCTTTTCCTCGCAATTTTACAAAACTTTACCCTTTTTTTTGTCTTTCATTCACAAATTTCGTTGATTTTGCGAAAAATACGGGATTTATAGTCCAACCTCAGGGGAAGAGAACTCTACACCTGGAACGGAATAAAAACAGTTCCTGCTGCTTCAAATGCGTCCAATTGAAGCATCGGCCACTGCGCGCACAGTGAATCAAGTCAATAAGAGAGGTCGGATAAAATTCGGAAACTTTTAAAGCTCGTAACGCTGTTTATACATACTTTTGAGGTTATAAAAGTGGTTCCTTTGGTTTTCTCGTTCAATTTTCTTTAGAATGTACCCCTTAAAGTTTATATTTTCAACTTTGTTTTTAATTTTTAATTTTTTTTTTTTTTTTTTTTTTTGGTCGTCAACTTTTTTGGAGTTTTCTAGGATTGGGCCGAGGTGGCTACCCCAACCTAGAATTAGGACGAAATAAGCATCAAAATTTGCAGTCTCAGTCAAAAACTTCATGTCCGACCTCTCTAATTGACTCGATCCACCGTGCGCCGGTTCCAATCGTAAGATCCGATGGTGAGGGGGAGGGGGGGTGCCTAATTTGAATGGAGCGTTTACAGATGAATTATAGATGTTTGTTTTACGTTTCCGCCGAGAGCTCTAATTTCGCCGGTCCGTGTCGCGCGCCGCGCCGTTGCCCGCGATAATTCCCCTCGAATTCTTGCGGTTATCGATTACTACCGACCCCCGACTCTCCCCCTCCCCCGCCCGTCGGGAGTGCACCGAAGTGTAGGCGAAGGATACGGTCAGCCCTTGACCTTCACCGCGGAGGGAAGAGACGGGAAGAGATCGGAGTAGTCAGAACTCGGAAGTTGTAATTCATTCAAAGACATAAAGACGGAGCACTAAAAGCAAAAAATGAAGCTTCTAGAGCTTCTTTTCAATCACCTCTACTATTGGCTAGAGGATTGGCGGCGAAATCGAGACAAGTTTGAATTCAAATGTAGGGCGGGAACTAATAAATAAAATTGCGGAAACAAAGTATTTTAGGTTGATTTTTGCCCAAATTCAGGTACACACTCATATTTTATTAACTTTAGGTTAGTTTCGGTCCGTCGTCGACCGACTGATTTCATTTGGGAGTAACGTAGATCTAGAACTGTAACGGCCTGTTTGAACCTGCAGAACCACCATAAGCAGAAGAAAAACTAACTTTATCTGAGATTACTGCCTGTTACCGAGCAAAAGTAGGTGTAATATATTAGGACGCAGACCGAACTTTCTTAATATAATCGTTTTAAGCATTTAAAACACGTTTCGAAGAAGAAATAAGGAAAAATCAAGAGGACAAGTTCAAATCAAATTTCCGTTTGCCGCCATGGATTCCCGCGCTCATTTACACACTCACACAAACGCGCAGCGCCGAACCTAGCTTCACTTTTTCCCCGTGCTTTTAGATACGAGCACTCCGTCTTTATGTCTTTGAATTCATTTCATTGATTCCCCGTGGGAAAACGTGGCACGCGGAGGAGCGGTTCGGTCGATCAGAAAATTGGACGTATTTGACGTATGACGTGAGCCCTGTTACGTTTATATTCTTATGGGTCTCAGGGCTCATGCCGTAATGCACGTAGTTCCGTTTGACAGAAATTCGTCCAATCGGGCAGCCAGTTCGGTTGACTCAGTTGGGATTGTATCGTCTATCGTACTATCGTACCTTTGCGCTCCACGCTTACTCAACGATTTCACGGTGGAAATTTTGATTTGTACGATGTTTACCTCAACAATCTGACTTTTTTTTTATTTTCTTATGATTGAGGACCTCTTTAAATTAGTTTCTTCCTCAAATAATTTGAAATTTGAAATTCGTTTCCTCAAATTTGGACTCGGAAATTATGTTCGTTTTTTTATTTTTAATATTTTTATTCGTTCTAATATCTCCCCGTTATCTCTCGTTACTCTTTCTTTTTCTTCTACTTCTCTTTCTTTCACTTTTTAATTATTTTTCTTTAATTTTCACCTTCTTCCTCCTTTTTTTCTCTCCGTTTTTTTTGAAGTATTATCCCACCTTCGCGCTCCCCCTTTATCTATTTATTTCTCCCTTTTTCTCCTATCTTCGGCCTTTGACACTCTTTTTACTCCCTTTCCCCTTTTTTCTGCTCGCAGAATGTCTACTAAAACTGGCTCACGATAAATCAGTACTTTTCCAGGACTTTTTCTTAAAAATTCAGGACTCGACGAAAAATTCAGTACCTACTTAGCATTTTTCTCTTTTCTTCTACTACTCTCCCCCCTTTTCCTCCCCTTTTTTCTCCCTCCTTCTCGCTTTCTGACACCCTTTTTACTCCCACCTCTCCCCGTTTTCTCCCCGCAGGGTGTCTACTAAAACTTGCATGCACCGAAAAAAAAAACACATTGGATCTAGAGTCCAGACTCTTAAAAACATCGACAAGAAAAAATACTCTTAATCCAATCGGATTTTTGCTTAAATCAAGAATCAAGCCTCTTTGTTTGAGCGGATTTCCTTTTGATTTAAGCTTCAATCTGATTGAATCAAGAGTATTTTTTCTTGTCAATGTTTTCAAGAGTCTGGACTCTAGATCCAATGTGTTCTTTTTTCCAGTGTGGCTAAAATTCGGTACTTTTGTAGGACTCTCTCAATACCGTATTACGGTCCCAAAAATTCAGGACTTCCTCAACAACAAAATTCAGTATTTGAACTTCTCCTTTTTACCACTCTCCTTCCTTTTCACACTCCTTTCCTCTCTCTTCTTCTCGTTTTCACTTCGTATTATCTCCATCAGTTTCTCTCCCCTTCTTTCTTCTTCTTCATTCCCTTTTTAACGAAACAGGAGTATCGTTCGACTGCTCGAAACTCGAAACGAACGATTTATTTTCCATCTTTGGCGAGTGCATCACGGGAGCGTGATCGTCCTCATCTCGTTGCCGCCGCCACCACCATGGTGCNNNNGGGGGGGGGGGGCGACGGTGGTCTCGTTTCGCTCGTTGATGACAATTTGCGGCCCATTAAAACGGGGACGGGGCGCCGAAGACGCCGGGCGGGGGGAGGGGGGGTCTCAAGGTCAGCCCCCGACCCGACCCAAGGTCACCCCTCAACGCTCGTCACCGCCGTAAGTCAACACTCAACTAAACGTCTCGCCGCTCGTTACCAGACTGCGGTCCGTTCCGCGGCGACGATTAGACCAGAGGGCCCATTTACGCCATTTTTCATGCGAAATTGCAGTCCGGGATCGTTTTCCAGAAGGGGCGCCTATTTTGCCGCTACGTGGCCCAACCCCTGACAGGCATTTCGCGTCCTCACTGGACTGTTTTGTGGGAGTACAATATTCTACTGGGACGTAATCAGTGACTGCGGGCCGATTATTGAAACTGATGGACAAAGCGATAGGCAATGAAGACAAAGGAAGTATAGAGCGATCCTATTGGTTGGCATGGTTGGTTCTCATAGACTAAGGAAGAAAATGATGGACTAACTGTCGGGTCTTCAGTGGGTTGCCGTTAGTTAGTCTATTACCTATACCTCCTATGTCCATTGTCACCACCTGCTTCCACCAATAGGATCCCTCCAAATCTCTTTTGTCGTCTTTGTCTGTAGCTTTGTCTATGAGTTTCAATAATCGGCCCGCTGGACAGGTCTGCAGGCTAATTATTTAAACTGATAGACAAAGGGAAAATGGAGTGATCCTATTGGTTGACTAACTTTAGGGTTGGTTTACTCCTTGGCTGGCGTTGTTATAGTTACCTCCTTTATCCATTGCCACCACCCTCTTCCACCTACAGAATTGCTCCATTTCCCTCCTGTCTTCTTTTTCTATCGCATTGTCTAGCAATTTCAATAA